GACCGTGCTGTGGCGAATGGAAACTGGTGAGTGCAACAACTCCGACTGCTCTATCTCAGCCTGTTGCTATGCAGCCCGTTGCTATGCGCGCTATATACGTCATCGCGCCAGAAGGGCAAGGAAACGAGCATGCGCAGAAAGACCGGAATGAATTCAAAGAGGAATGAGTGTATACATGCACACAAAATTCTTTCATTCGGAATGACAAACGGATTAAACCACCCCCTTTAATCGGATTTAATGTTCAATCGGAATGACCGTTTACGTGACCACTTTTAATCGGAATGGCCTTTCATTCCGATTAAAAGTGGAATTAAACTGTGCATGTAAACGTACTGACTGATTGAGTTCCCTCTGAGCGGTAAGTCGCTAAAAGAGTCTGAGAAGTCCGGGGCTGTTCATAATACATTAACTCACTCACTCACAAGTTCTCCAGCTACACATGTTGGACGTGCTACGCTAAATCACGGACGTGAACCAACTCCTCTTGCTCCACTGTCTGTGTGCTCGCAGCCATTTTCATACTGAGGCAGGTGTGATGATGTCATCGACGACAGGACGGTAGAGCGCAAATCTCTACCGTGGGCCAAATTTATATCATTTCTACCGTCTACTGCATATACCGTGCAGCCCTAATAGTAACCGGTACTTTATCTGCTTCCTTACTGGTTAAGGAAACAAACCCATGAGACACGAAAGGTTTGAAACGAGGGTCAATCTCTGCATTTACCTCTGGTTCAGGTAAAGGCTCCATGTGTTTATCAGGCGGGGACGCGGTGTTTATGAAACCCACGCCTGCAGGAGTCTTACCGGTTTTGTGTTCTTTTTTTTTGAGAACCGGGCAGGCGGCGATCAAATGGCCTGGCTCATGGCAATAAAAACACTTGCGGCTTTCACCCGCAGCTGGTGATGTGTTTTTACGCATCAGTTTTGGTGACCTTCTGTGCTCAGGCATTACATTTGAAGCATGAGGTGTCGGTACAGAAAAAACACTTTTATGAGTCAGAATGAAGTCATCAGCCAGCACGGCTGCGTTAAACACCGAGGACACTTTCTGCTCTTTTAAATAAACAACGATTCGCTTCGGCAAACACTTTTTAAATTCCTCGAGCAGAATTAACTCTCGCATTTCCGCTAAAGTTTTTACATGACATGCCTGGCACCATTTATCAAACAAAACACTCTTGTCGCGCGCAAACTCAACGTACGTCTGGTTGGCAGTTTTATCACGGTTTCTAAATTTTTGTCTGTACGCTTCGGGGACAAGCTCATAAGCCTGCAACACAGTCTTTTTCAATATGTCATAATCCAGACTGTCCTCAATTGACAGACTGGCACAGACTTCTTGGGCCTTCCCCGCAAGCTTACACTGTAGCAAAAGTGACCAGAACTCCTTGGGCCACTTAAGTGCAGCAGCTATTCGCTCAAAGGCGCTGAAATATGAGTCCACCTCGGACTCACGAAACGGAGGGACTAATGCAATGTGCTTACTAATGTCAAAAGCAGGAGCAGAAACAAAACTTTGGTTAGGAGACACTGGGGTGGAGACAACAGGGGCTCCTCTTTCCAGCTCAAGAGCCCTGATACGGAGATGCATTGCTTGCACTTCAAGCTGTTTATTTTTGGTCTCCACCTCCTTTATTTGCAGGGCTAAGCGGAGATCCTCTGTGGTCATATTTCCCAGAGAAGGATCAATGACCGGCTCAGGCTTCACACCAGCAGCGCGCACGCCAGCAGCCTCCACTGCTTTCACATCCGCCACCTGCGCATCAGCCGCCGCATCACCCGCAGGCTTAGCCGACTCAGCAGCTAGTTTGGGTAGCACACCCTGCTCCACCAACTCATCACACAAAATCTGTTTGAGCTCTGCTTTCCGGGCACTGTACGACACATGCACATTATAAAAGTTAGCCACAATTAACAAATCTGCTTTTTTGCACTTATCAAGTTTTGCCAAAGAAGGGCTGGTCACAAATTCATCCAGAGAAAACTCCATAATTCCCCCCACACCAAAAAACAACCGCCAACCAGAGGAAAAAAAATACTCACCAAACTCACCCTGAAACGAAGCGCGAAAAGAAGACGGACGAGCCCCCAATTCATGTTATGCCCAGTCTAGGGGTGTCTGGGANGAAAAAATACTCACCAAACTCACCCTGAAACGAAGCGCGAAAAGAAGACGGACGAGCCCCCAATTCATGTTATGCCCAGTCTAGGGGTGTCTGGGACACAACATGAAAGGCCCCCATCTTCCCCAAGTCCCAAGTTGTCACTATTAAAAAGATTTATGGAACGATCAATAGTTCTAATTTATTTACAATATTTAAATAATAGAATTAACTGAAATAGTAACTTCAGGGTGGACTAAGGCCAAAATAACAAACAAAAACAATCCTGCCCAGGGAGTAAGTAAATAACCTAACCAAACAACAAAAAAAACAAATGACAAAAAGCTTACCTCCCTAACTAAATAAACAGGAGAAAAAGGGTTAGTAACAAAACTGGCAGTCCACCCCTACGATTTAACAGTCTTTAACACAATAATGATTTACTACAACAACAATATGTGTGGCCGGTTGGGAGAGGAGGAAGGTGAGGTCTGCCTGCTAGCTCGAAGCAACTGCCATCTTTGTCCTTTAAAAACCTGAACACCCTTGGCAGCAGCCAATCAGGAACGAGCACCGATCAAATTCACCAATCCTCGCTACACCTATTTGCATACAGAAAACACAGAGAACACGCACAGAGAACACATGCAGCAAAACACACACAAACAAAATAAATTACGACAACAGTCGTAACACAGTGAAAATGATTTATTTGTATGTAAAGAAATTATAGAACTTAAAACAACATAGCAAACAACAATTTAATAAAGTAAATACATAATA